TATTGATTAGTCTGACCATAATCGATAGAGTATGAAGTACAAACTTTGTTTATTTGGACAGAAATATTAACGGTGAAGAAGTAAATTATAAAATGATCCAAATTAGATGGGGATAATTGACTGTTTTTGAAATATAGGAGATAAAGTGCTTTACAGTTAAACCACGAGGGTTTAATAAATTTTATCTTCTTTTTTTTTTCTTTTTTTCTTTTTGGTGCACGTAGCATTGTTGGAAAAGTTAAGGCCAAGAGAGTTAAATTAAATTTCTTGTCATGTAATTAAGCAGTTAAAAATAAGGTTGCTACTCAGGCAGCTCAAACCGAGCAACATATGTCCAACTTGAATTTTTAAGGATTTGACAATATATTTTTAAAATATAGGTTTATGCAGCAATTTAAAGCTCGAATTAAATTCAAGGCTAGGCCTAGACAAAGATTCCTAGCAACCTAAAACTTGAATTACAAATTTAAATATAAATATATAAAAATATTAAATATACATATAAATTATTACAATTTCAATTTGATTTGCATTAGTTGAATTGTTTTGACTTTCTTTGTTTTTTTTTCTTCTTCAAATTACTAGGAGATGGAATTGAGGATTGGAGACTAAAGAAGTGAATGAACTACTTCAACATTTGTTTTAAGTTTATGTTTGTGTCAGTAAAATTTTTGTTAAGTCTTGATCGATAGAGATTTAACAACAATTTTAATCAAACAACCAAACAGAAAATCAGACGAATATGTAAAGGTTCTAATGTCTTGAAAGTATAAGGGTTTTTTTTATTGTAATCTTTTAAATTTATAATGTTACAAATTGTTAAAATTACTGCTAAAAGTTAAAATATTCCTAAAAATAAAAAATAAATCTTGTTTCTTTGTTTCAACCTTACCTATTTATAGGCTAGAAACCGTGCTTCTCTTTTAACTGCTGAAAGCAGCCCACTTTCACATCAAGTTATTGTAAGCAACATCTTCCATAATCACCCACGTTGCCGAGTTCTTTGCCCATCTTGGATTCTTTGCCCCACGTCTGCTACACACTGCACAAAAACAGTAACAAGAACAACAAGAACAATAACAACAACAACAACAATAATAATAATAATAATAACAGAATATGCTCATAATTATTTAAAAAGATAATTTTGGTCTGAATCCATAGACTAAAATTGACGGGTCACAATCAATAAGATTAGATTTGGCCGTGATTGACAGGCCACAATCAATAAAACTAGATTTGGTCACAATCAACAGGCCACAATTGATAGAAAATAATTTATGGCACAAACAATTTGTAATGTGAACTTATTGCCTGTCACTTACGATTATTGGCCAGTCTAGCAGAGTGATATTTGCTTACAGCAATTCCAACTGTACTCTTCATTTTTTCACTAGTTAAAATAAAAAAAATGTATGTTCTTTATTTTACTTAATTTCTTTTTTATTTATGTACTCTAACATTAGTATTTATTTTATCTATCTATACATACAGACTATTTAAAGAGCCTCCCAAGACTCTTCAAATGTAGCTAATTTTGAAAATTTTTGTTAAAATAACTATTATACTAAAGATAGGTATAATAGCTAACAAATCTCATTTAAAGAGTTCATTGGAGATATTCTTAGTACTATTAATGTGGCTAGGATGTTTAATTTGTTTTGATGTGATTTCATAGTTGATACTTATGTTTCTTATTTTGTTACTTGTTAGGATGTTTTTATAAAAATTCAGCTTAAATTTGTGGGTAATTTGGGCCTATCCCAAGTTCAATTTATTGAGTTCGAACTAGACTTGGGCGGGGCTAGGCAACACTCAACACTACTTGGGTAACCCTCAACTTATTGAATTTGTTTGAGGTGCACCCCAAGTTAAAAATTATGAGCTACCTTAATTTATACTAAAATCCTAATGTAATACAAATCAATCAATTTTCATTCCAAATGTACAAGATGTCATTTCCCAGTGTAAATTTTTTTTTTTGCCTATTTTGTGTTTGGATCATAAATTTGGATAGAGATTTGAAAAGGAAAACAAAAAAAAGAAATAGGAAAAAAGAAATAAAATGTGAATAAAATATAAGTTAAAATTTTTCTTTATTTTCCTTTCCCTTTTTATTTTTAAATCTTTATCTAAATTCATAATCTAAACAACTATTTTATAAGTAGACTCTTCACATTTATAATCTCATATGAAACTTTGATGAAATGAAAATTTTGATCATAAAATGAGTACACAAGATCAATATTTAAGTAAAATAAAAATGGAAAAAATTATAACATAATGATGGAAAAAGTTTGATTAAAGTTGACTTATTTAACATAAAGAGCCAGAGGCTAGACCTTGTATTGGTTGGATGACTTTGAAATATTTCTCTCTCTTTATCCCACCAACCCAACGTTTGTTTGTCTTCTATTTCTTTAACAATTTCAGTCTCAAAATGTTCCATTCACTCTTGCTTTCTAATTCCAACTACAACTTTTTCTTCACTTACTACCAAACTTGTTGACTTGCCTTGGGACACATAAATGGCACGTGTGATGCATTTATAGATAAAAAATTATAAACTTGTTCAATTCAATGAGTCAATCTCAACCAATTCAGTAAAATTTTCTTTCAAGAACCCTAATCAGTATTATTATTTGAACTAAATTAACACAAATTTAAAATTAAAATTCAAAATTGAACTTATCAAAATTACTCAAACTAAAAATGGCATAAAGAACAAAATGTAAAGATTACCGATATAATTTCTCATGTGGTTTATGGAAAACCGTTACTAATAGTTTTGGGACCACTGAAATTAAAGACAAAGACTAGCTGTTGCGAACTTAAAGGGGCTTTTCCCAAATTAAGCCAAAATAGCAACCTATTTTCCAAACTAGGCCTAGTTTGGACGGAATTTCCAAACTAGGCTAAAACGTGGTTGTGAACCACACTTTCACCGTTTTTGTAGTTGTCGTGCGGAAATTTTGTGAAATCGTAAAAGCGTGGTTACAAACCACACTTTTAATTAAGAAGATGTGGTTACAAACCACGCTTTTAAGTTAATCATAAAACGTGGTTTCAAACAACGCTTTTAAGTAAAATTTTTTTTTTTGTGCTGAAAATGTGGTTGTAAACCATGCTTTAATTGTGCTTTTAAATAATTTTTTTTTCTTCATAAAAGCGTGGTTCGTAACCACGCTTTTACTATTGACCAAAGAAAGCGTGGTTATCATCAACGTTTTTATTTGAGGGTAATAGTGCTATTTCTAACCACGCTTTTAAAAGATATTAAAATGTGATCAAATTAAAACTTGAGTTCTCTGTAGCTCAAATGGTGGTGTATTTGTTTTGCCTGGCAGAGGCGCGGGTTCAATCCACGGCATCTCCAAACGGTTGCTATTTTTCAAATTAAATTCAACTCTTTTTTTTTTTTTTCCCTTCCTTCCACTTACTCTATACTTTATATATTTATTATGTAATTTTTTTATCAAAAAAAAGTAAAACGTTTGTTTGGTTAACTAAAGAAATTCTCTATAAAATATAATTTTTTTCAAAATGTCAACATAATTGTTTAAAAAGTATTTAGTGTGTTTGGTTTGAGTTTTTTTGGATTTAGTTATTTGAAAACTAAATTTTTTTATTTTCGTATTTTTTTGTTTTTAGTGAATATTTTTAAAATTTTAAATATATTTTTTTAATTTTTTAGATGCACCTTAGTTAGATGTATCTAAAAAGTAAAAAATTTGTGAAAAAATATTTTAAAAAATTAATAAATACATAAAAATACAAAAAATGTATTGAAAAAATGTATTTTGAAAAAAAAATATTTTAAAAATATTTACTAAAAATATTTTTCAGTACATTTTTTGTATTTTTATGTATTTATTAATCTTTTAAAATATTTCAATTGACTCAATATCAACATTAATTTATGATTTTATCTTAAATTGATCCAATTGATTACAATTTTTCGTATTTTCTTTTTATAAAAAATGTGCCCATGAATTGCATGTTTCATATTTTTACAGCTAAAAAATTGTAAACTTATTCAATTCAATTCTCAACTAACTCAGTAACATTTTTTCTTTCAACAACCATAATTAATGTTATCAATTAAATCAAATTAATATAAAATTAAAAGTTAAGAATTCGAAATAAAATTAATTAAAATTACTTAAACTAAAATGACACAATAAACAAAATGTAAAGAATATCAACATAATTTCTCATTGGAATTAAAGACAAAGAATCACTGTTGCGAATTTGGAAGTCATGTGGGTGGTGGATAGAATTACACAGTTGCCGTGCTTGACAGGCTGGGCTGGGCTGGGTTGCTCCACCACCACTACCATAGAAAGACTTAGCAGTGTGTATAAGAATGAGTAATACATTTATTCCTTCTCCATCATCAAACTACTATCCTTCCTATACTCTCCTTTTCATATCTCTCCGAATCCTTCTACCTGTAAGAAAACAAAATGAGTTGGGTTATGTTTGTTCTTCATCAATTTCTTCTGTTATTTCTCTTGTCTTCTTCTTCTTTTTCTACTTCTGCACGCCATACCTGCCTTGAGGACCAGAGATTTTCACTTCTCCAATTTAAAACAACATTTACCATAACTGCTAATGCCTCTGTTTTTTGCGAATCTGATTCTCATCCTAAAATGGTGTTCTGGAATGAGAGTAGTGATTGCTGCTCGTGGGAGGGGGTCACGTGCGACTGGTCCAATGGTCATGTGATTGGACTTGACCTCAGTTGCGGCCACCTTCAAGGCACCATCCAACCCAACACCACCCTCTTCCACCTTCGTCACCTCCAAACCCTCAATCTTGCCTTCAATGACTTCAATTTCTCTACAATTTCACCTGATTTTGGCTCCTTTCCAAGTTTGACCCATCTCAACCTCTCTTTCTCTAATTTTATTGGCCGAATTCCTTCAAAAATCTGCCATCTGTCCAAATTGATTTCCTTAGACCTCTCTTATTTGGGTTATTATTATTATCCTCCTAAGGGGAGACTTGAACAACACACTTTCAATATGCTCCTTCGAAACCTAACCCAATTAAGAGAACTACACCTTGATTGGTTGAATATCTCTTCACCTTTACCTCATGCTTTGCTAAATCTATCTTCTTTGACATCTCTCAGTCTTCGCAATTGTCAACTGCGTGGGAAATTCTCAGAAAACATTTTTCACTTTCCAAACCTACGAGAGCTCCGTGTATGGGGAAACCGGGACCTCACAGGTAAACTTCCATACTTCAATGCAACTAGTTCCCTTCAGTTTCTTGATCTTGGCGGCATAATTTTTTCTGGTCAATTGCCTGAATCAATCAGCAATCTTAAAGCCTTGAATATTTTGTACCTCTTCAACTGCAACCTTTCGGGGTCCATTCCAGCTTCTGTTTGTAACCTTACAAAAATCACCAATTTAGCCTTATCGTCTAATAGTTTCAGCGGTCAAATCCCCTCATCAATTTCAAACCTTGCAAAGCTTAGAGCCTTGTATCTTTACGAAAACAATTTGAACGGACAAATACCGGATTCCCTTGGCAACATGAGCCAACTTACTAACTTGTATCTTTCCGGAAACAATTTGAACGGTCAAATACCGGATTCCCTTGGCAACATGAGCCAACTAACTTCTCTCGTTTTGAATTTAAACTCACTCAATGGGACAATACCATCTTCGTTGTTTGCTCTGCCATCACTGGTTGAGATAGTATTGAGTAACAATAAGCTACAGGGACCAATTCCAGGATTAGTTTATGAACTCCAGAACCTAACATACTTGTGGGTTTCATCAAATAACTTAAGTGGTGTAGTGGATCTAGATAAGCTTCTAAAGCTTAAAAATCTGATCTCTCTTGATCTCTCATATAGTGGTCTCTCATTGAGCATCAACAACAGTGTCAACTCTACCTTGACCAACTTTGAAACTATAAAATTAGCTTCTTGCAACTTGAGCGAATTCCCAAACTTCTTGAGAGAACAAGCCATATTGCGTGATCTAGACCTTTCAAACAACCAAATTCATGGTGAAGTTCCAAAATGGTTATTCAATGTGGGGAAAGATTCATTGCAAAATTTAGATCTTTCACATAATTTCCTTACAAGTTTAGAGCATCTTCCATGGAAGAATCTACAATATATTGACCTGCACTCCAACTTACTTCAAGGACCACTCCCTATTCCACCTAACACCACAATTGTTTTCTCTATCTCAAACAATAAATTAAGCGGGGAAATCCCTTCATTGATTTGCGGTCTGAGTTCACTTCAAGTTCTTGGTCTGTCTAATAACAGTTTGAGTGGCTTGATTCCACAATGTTTGGGAAACTTGAGCAACAGTCTCTCGGTGCTGAATTTAGGGATCAATAGCTTTTCTGGCACCTTTATTGCAACATTTACCAAAGGCAATTCGCTAAGGAATCTTAACTTGAATGGCAACCAAATTGAAGGACAAGTTCCGCGATCATTGCTCAATTTTAGACACTTGGAAGTTCTAGATCTTGGAAAAAAGAAGATAAATGATACATTCCCCCACTGGTTGGGAACTCTTCGAAACTTGCAGGTTATTGTCTTGAGATTTAATATGTTTCATGGTCCCATAGTCACCTTCAAGACCAAGGGCAAACATCCTTTCCCCAAGTTGAGAATTATCGACATATCCTATAATGAGTTCACTGGGCTTTTGCTGACAAACTATATCAAACAATTTGAAGCTATGATGAATGCAAATGAACATGAAATGAAATTGAAATACATGGGTGACAGCTATTATCAAGATTCTGTGGTGGTGATGATTAAAGGATATGAGATTGAATTATCAAGAATCCAACTTCACTTGGAAATTTGAAAAACCTTGAATCGTTGGACCTTTCCTCAAACAAGCTTGTTGGGGAGATTCCTCAGCAATTAACAAATTTGATGTTTCTTGAGGTACTAAACCTTTCGGACAACCAACTAGCAGGACCAATTCCTCAAGGGAGGCAGTTTTATACATTTGAAAATGATTCATATAGTGGGAACTTGGCTTTATGTGGATTGCCTTTATCAAAGAAATGTAAGGAACTACTGCCACTGCCACCTCTACCAACACTCCAACAAGATGAGAATTCAGACAAGTCAAGCGGATTTAACTGGCAAGTTGTAGTGTTGGGGTATGGATGCGGATTTTTATTTGGAATGATTATGGGATATCTTATGTTTGTAACTCGAAGACCCGAATGGCTTATGAAAATTGTTGAAGGAAAACATCATAAGAAGGTGAAAAGGTCTAAGAAGGGTGCCCACTGATGCAGTGAAAGAAGAAATCAATAAAGACAAATGGCATTATTCGGTAATTGGAATTTATCTTTTCAGCATTACTTTGTTGAATTATCTTTTATGGTTTCTACTTATATTCTATATTTGAGTTATTGATGTTCTTATTTCAAAACTAGGTTTGTTCCATTAAGTAGCACAATAAAGCAATGGTATCCACTTGAAGGGGTGTTTCACCTAGCTACTGCATTTGAGTGGGTGAGCATCTGGATAACAGCCATACACGGACCACTTCAAAAGCTTTACCCTTGTTGCGGTATTGAATTCTAATGTTTTGTTAAAGTGGGTGAGCATCTAGATAACAGCCATACAGGACCACTTCAAAAGCTTTACCCTTGCTGCGGTATTGAATTCTAAAGCTTTGATAAGTCGTTTAGTTTTTTTGAAGCACTGAGTTAAATAAGAGTTTCATGTCATGGTTTTTTGTTGTTTTCTATCTCACATCATGTAGCAACCTTTAGAGATTTGTATTTTTGTATGCAATTTTTTTTTTAAATTGGATTTCTGTCACAGAAGACTAGGCCATGCCTAGGTTTTAACTTTGAAATGCAATCTTACAATGATAGAATTGTTGTATACTAGATAGAGAATTCATATTGAAAATAATATTATATGTTACTCTTTGAGCAGTTTTTTACCCGTTGCTATTGTAGTCCAGGTGAGCTTCCAACATCATCTCTTCCACATCTTTTTATCAATAAACAAAATTGTTGATAATTTGATTTTGTTTTTCTTCTTCAATGGCGATGGGGGAATAAATTGGAGATATTGACTAGCACTTGTTTCCATATCGATGTGGGATTTTTGTGATTAATTATGGTAAGAAAATGCTGATTTGAAGAGCACTGATTGAAAAGGTCACAGGCAAGAAAACTATTGGGGTTGTGAACCTTGATTAGTACTGTACATTTCTGTTTGCACTCATTTTTGTAAAATTTCCTACCAACAGGTGAATCAATTGAATGATGACACATGGCAATAAAGTCAAAGTAAAAGTCTTTCATTTGATCAAATGAAAGAATTGTTTAAGTCCATGAATTGTTGAAAATAGTCATAAAGTAGTTATCAAACAATTGTTGGCTTAGTGGGCTGATTTGTGTGAAGTCAAGATTGTGAATTGGAGCTCTATTTTATGTCGATATAGTGCTCTGAATTTTGGGGGATATGCGAGTGATTTGAAGAATTGATAAAGTTTGATGGCTTGGAAATGAGATAACAGTTACAGCAGTAGTTGGGGGGGATAAAATGAATTTCAGAATTTTAACTTGTTCAGTTTTCTTAAAGCACTGAGTTAAATAAGAGTTTCATGTCATGACTCTTGTTTTTTTCTCGCATCGTTCAGCAACCTTTTAGAGGTTTGCACTTTTGTATGTAGTTGCTTTTAAATTGGATTTCAGTCATAGAAGACTGGGCGTTGCCAAGTTTTTAACTTTGAAATGCAATCTTACAAGTTACAACTCAAACCATTCCCCATGTTACATTCTTAATCATTTTGAGTAATAGAAATGCTTGCTACTAGATAGAGATTTCACATTGAAAATAATGTTATATGTTAATCTTTGAGCATTGCTTTTACTCGTTGCTATTGTAGTCTATTTTATTTTTTTTGCATCTTAAATGGCGATTGGGGGATCAAACTAGAGATATTTACTAGCACTTGTTCTATAGACTTGGGAATTTTGTGATTAATTGTAGTATGAAAATGGTGATATGGAGAGTATTGATTGAAAAGGTCGCTCATATTTGTTTTTTTGTGAAATTTTACTGGTGCAAGTGTTGCCATGAATGGGAACATATTAGATATTTAAAACATTCAAGTTGTTGAGTTGATGCCAGGTTGTTTGATAAGTAAAATATTGGCTTTGCAAATTCATGTTTGAGTTTGGTATGTGTATCATTAAAAATATTAGCTACTCCATCAAGGAGATAAAAGGATTTGTGTAGTTTTATTGGCTGGCCACAAGCTCACACATCCAATGAAGATATTAATCTCCACATTTAAGAGTATTTTTGGTATCCTGCAACCCAAAACCCTGGTGGCAATAATTTGGGAGCTTGGGTAGCAGGTCGTGTGGTTTAGGGACCAGTGAAGAAGTAAATGTCACACATGAGACCATAGGATTTACATGCCTAAGGTTATATAGTTACCTTTTATGATTTGGCTTTGAAAAGGTGAAAGAAAGGTTCTAGACTTTGAAGCGTTTGAAAGAGCTAGAACAGACTTGGATTTAAAGGGATGATAGGCTGTTAAAATTTTATAACTGTGGCAAGAATTTTTTAAACAAAATTTTGAGATCCCAGTTTGTGTTCTGGTGGATGATGACTGGAATGACACGAGTTAATGCCTTCTGTCACTTGTGGGGGTCCGATTATGGTTAGCATTTGGATTTTGTCACGTTTTTCATGTGGCTTTGTTCTAGGAATCTTCATTAAATACTTTATGACAAAAAATAATTTTTTGAAGTTGAAGTGGTGGAAATGAGCATAGGTTTGGTTGTCTCCACTATGTTTTTTAAATACTAAATAATTACTTGGTGTTACTTTAATGCTATCAATATTTAAATGTTGGTCTAGCTTGTTTGAAAGGTGGTTGATAAAATAATTGTCATCCTTGAAGGGTGGATGATAAAAAAAAAATTCAGCTCAAATTTGTTGTTAATTGGAGCATAGCCCAAGTTCAATTTATTGAGCTCAAGGCTGCTTTGGACACACAAAATTAGGTTAGAGGTCGGGCTTGGGGGCCTCAGGCAACTCTCAAAACAACTTGGATAACTCTTCAATCTTACTGCACCCGCTCACGTTGCACCTCTAGTTACAAATTACAAGCTACCTTAATTTAAACCAAATCCTAACTGAATTGCTAAAAGTTCATTCGAAAAAATTGGCCATACAAATCAATCAATTTTCATTGCAAACATAACAAGATTTTATTTCCCAGTGTTGAATTTTTTTGTTTCCTAAATCTGTGTTTGGATCATGGATTTGGGTCAAGATTTGAAAATAAAAAAGAGAAAAGCGAGTGAAATGCAAATAAAATATAAGTTACATTTTTTTCTTCATTTCTTTTTCCAAGACTGCAAATGTGCTATGACTATGTAATAACATGTTAATGCCTTGTCACATGACTGCCTTTTGTCTTTGTTGTTTCAGTAAATATATGCTTTGACAGTCATGAAGTCTCTGTTAGAGTAGTAAATTACAAGCTTTTGAATGGAAATTGTTAAAATTTTAAGAGAGGTGTGAAACTGATTTTCAGCATAAGATTTGAAGTCTAAAAACTTAGCAAAAACTTCATTCTTGTAATGTAAGGGGTAAACCCCAAAAAAACTATTAAAGTCATCCACAAACAAAACACAGTATTTAAAGCTATTCGCAGAAGAGTTAAAGGGTCCCTAAATATCACTATGAACCAAAGAAAAGAGAGCATTCACAGAAGTATTAGAGAGCTTGAATGGCAGTCTATGAATTTTAGCAACAACACAATTTGTACAAGAAGCAATCTTATTACAAGTAGTAGAACAATCAATATGATCAGAAGAAAAATAAGGCAAATGCTTGATAATGTGTTGAAACTTTAAAGGGGAAGGATGCCCCAATCGTTGATGCCAAGTGAGTGCACTAACAGAAGCAGGTGAGTGAGCATGACAGGCCTGTGGTAAAGCAACATGAGAAGGAAAGAACTGATATAAGCCATCCACATTAGATCCACTATAAAGAATTTTGTTCGTAAGCTTGTCCTGGATTTGAAAAGAGTTAGCATCAAAAATAATAACACAATTATGATCACGAGTGAGCTATTGAACAGACAAAAGATTGGACGCAATAGCAGATACATGTAACAAATTGTTCAAAGTAAAAAAACAGGTAGGAGCAGGCAAAAGACCTGTGCCAATATGATGAATGGGCAAAAAGGAACCATTACCAACAGTCACTTGATCCTATCCTTCATATGGCTGTGAGAGATGGAAATTTGAGAGATCATTCGTGAGATGATTTGTAGCAGCAGAGTCAATGTACCAGGGCACAGAGGAAGAACCAGGTGGTGAAGAATTGTAAGAAGATGAGGGAATTGTTGCTGCATAGGCTCTTGAGTTTGAGGGATTAGCTGGAACTGGAGATGAGGAAGACAGTGGTTAGAAAGATGGATCCATTCGATGCCAGCAATCAATAGCAGTGTGGCTTGGTTTGCCACAAATCTGACAACTAGTGGAATTGAACTGTGATCTGTTTCTGTTGTTATTTGATTAAAGAATATGGTTGTGCACATCAACACGCTAGATCGGTTTTGAGTTTTTTTTTCTTCTAATTTTTATAAATTTATTTATTTGTTTATTTTTGTTTCTTCCTTTAATAATCACCAGGTATAAGAAATGAGAGAGGGAACTTGTCCATGCATATTCTTCTGAGGGTCTTGGAGGAATACTTGTGAGTTACTAACCTTAGTAACTTAGGTCCCCAAGTTTTTTCGTATAGAGTTGATTGAAACAGGTATTGTGAGGTAGTTATTTTGTGGCGCCTCAATTTTAAGTGAAGAATTTATTATTTGGGTCACTATGTTGTCTGAAGGTGCCAAATTAATTTTAAAAAGTGTAGTTCTAAGATTTTTGAGTTCTTCCATCTGCCTTTATTTTCTTAATATGTTAATTGTATTGTTTTCAGAGGTTGCCTCTGTTTTCTTGTTTTGGCTGTAATTTTAATAGATTGCTATAATTCTATGTAGAAAATCATAGCAAAATTGATTGTTTGGGAACAACGCTTTAAAATTTTCCTAATTTATTAAAGTTTCACAAGAGTTGGATTCAGATTGGTTGATCGAATTAGAATTGATCAAGTTTCAGATATCAAAAAATCGGCTATAAATTCTGAATATTTGATGAAATTGGCATTCTAGGAAAGAATGGCTTTCTTATATTGTTTATTAGTTTGGTTGGAATTTCAGCTAAATTTTAAAAAATCGGTTAATAATCGAAAGAATTTAAAGATTGTATAGTAGTTAATGGAAATCTATTTTTGTAGTGAGGTTTCAATAAGGTGTTGGGATTAGGAAGCTGGACTTATTAAGGCGATATTAGAAAAATGGCTATTGAGATTTACACTAAAGAGGCATAGTCTTTGGAGAAGATTGATTGAGGGGAGATATGGCAGCTTGCTTGGTGGGTAGAGGATTTATACTAGTAGAGGTCCATATGTGGGTGGGCCTTTGGAAGAGTGTTCTCTCAATTTTTAGTTTCTTTACGTTAATTATTGGCATTTGGATTGATAACCAGAGCTTCTTGTGGAAATTATTTAGTTTTTCATTCCTTTACTCATCAATATTTAGACCCTTTACCCACCCAAAAAATATTTAGACCCTTTTTGTTTTTTGTCTCAATTTTGTTCGTTCGTTGGTAGGCTTATCTAGATCACGATCTTAACAATTGGATTGTTCAGTATATGAATTTTAGTATTGTTTCGATTGGTGGGTATGATTTAGATTTTGATAAATTTGTTTGAATTTTGCAAAATTTATATGTTTATTGACCTATTCTTTGGCAATTTTGTTGTGTTCAATTCGTTAAATTGCCACAAAAATGAAATTTTTGGGAATTCTTCTGAATTATTGTTCATTTGATCAATTGGGTCAGTGTTGTTTTGGTGAATTTTGGTCTGAATTTGTGATTTGGTTGTTCAGAGGGGAGGGGTTTGAATTCAATTCCTTAGAAAATGGGGGTTCCCTCGGTCTCAGGTGAGTATTTGACTTCCCTTGAATCAGTTTTACTTGATTGTTCTATCTCTTTGAAGTAATGTCAATAATTTTCGTTGCTTCAGAGGTTAGTAGGCGTGACTTTTTGCAATTCTTTTGCTTCTGTATGTTGAGGATGACTACTTCAAAGTATTTTATCAAGTACATTGTTATTGAGTACTCAACAAAAAGAGAAAAAAAGGGAAAAAGTACTTAGTGTTTGACATTGATCTGGTTGATTTATATGCTCCGGGGATTCAAATGTGTTCTGAAAATGGAGGGAAAATTTAGAGAGATGTTGATTGGGATAATCTGCTTTTGAGGGTAAAAAATGAAAAGGGCAACGTATCATTACACGAGGCCTTGATGAACGGTCACCAAGTTGTAGCTTATTATTTGATCACGGTAGATCCAGAAGTGTTATATTATCTGAACAATGAAGTGAAATCAGCTCTGTTTCTAGCTGCTGAAGTAGGGTTTTAGGAACTTGTCACGCATATTCTATGTGATACAGTTGGGATTGAAAATACAAATGAAAGACTTAAAGGGTAATCACCTATTCATGCTGCCATTTTAAAAAGAAACCGAGGTAATTCTGACACTTATTCTTGATTTCTCTTTGGTTTTTGCATTTTTGTTTCTCAATTTATTTTAAAATCCCAGGTGTTTTTGATGCCTTATTGAAATCAGAACCAAGGCTCATTCGATTAAGAGATGAAGAAGGAAGGACTCCACTTCACTTGATTGCATGATTGGGCTATCTTGAAGAGGTTCAATACTTGTTAGGAAGGCAGAGTTCAGGTGCTATTGCCAGGGACAACAATGGCTTACTTCCTATTCATTTAGCATCAATTAAAGGCCATGTTGATGTTGTCCGGGCGTTGCTTCAGTATTGGCCTGATTCGAGGGAACTGCTCAACTGTCATGGTCAAAATATTCTTCATGTTGCAGCCAAGAGCAGAGGACATAACATGGTTAGTTACATTCTCCAAACTCCTGAGGTCGAGAAGTTTTATAAACATGAGGGATAAGCATGGAAACACAACCTTGCATTTGGCCACCTTGGATTGGCATCCAAAGATTGTTAGTACCCTAACATGGGATGAAAGAGTGGACTTATAGTGAATAATGAGGGTATGTCTACTCTTGATTCTGCTGAATACTACATGGAAAGAATGTCCTCATTTCGAAAGGTATGCACTCAGCTAATTAAACAACCCTACACTTCAGATACCTAATCAAACATAACAGAATGAGGGTATGTCTGCTCTTGATTCTTCATGCTATTTATCTATTTTTATTTGCATCAATTCCACTTACATTAATATGTCAAAAATAGGGTCCAAGCAAAGCTATATCTATTGTTTGGGTAAACTACTAATAGGTCCTAATAGTTGGACTTAATTCTTGCCAAGTCCTATTAAAAATAAGTCTTGATAAAATTGTCGTTAAAAATAATTTTTTTGTAATAATTTTTTATATACGTCGCTAAAAATTGACAATTAGTGATTTTTTTTTTGTCATGATTTTTATAAATTGTCACTAAAACTTACATTTGGTAATTTTTTTTATAACAAATTTTTCCCATAGGAAGTTCACTTATTAGGACCTACACGTAAGTTTCCCTTGTTATTATTCATGATTAATGTTTTGTAAAGGTAACTATTGTGAATCTTGTGCCCGTCCATATATGCAATCTCGAAATGCTTCTTCACTTAGTGTGCTAAAGCTAAAGTTCTCCAAAGGTTGTCTCTGTGTGAACATTCCTTTTCATAGTACTAGGAATTATTATTTAGCATTGACTGGAAGGAATTTTAATGGCCTGCTATTTCAATAGCCATTAGGTGGTCATAGTTTAAATTTGTGGGACATTTTTATCTTGCGACGGTTAACATGGACTGCATTGATGGCCGCTGGTGCACCACTAGCTTACTGTAGAAAAGCCGTCAATGCTAAAAAGAAACAAGCATCTATGCAACTGGAGCAAGTGAACATAGACAGCTATAAGGACCGATTCAACACTCTTCTATTGGTGTCCACCCTCATTGCCACTGTAACTTTTGCAGCTGGTTGCACAATACCCTATGGTTATAACAACATTGAACCTGACCAAGGCATGCCAACTATGCTAAAACACAAGTGGTTTCACATATTCATTTTCTGTGACACCATAGCTCCATTATTACTGCTGTTACCCTCATATGGGCAGAATTAGGGGACCTCAATTTGGTGCTTACTGCCTACAGATTGGCGACACTGCCACTACTGGGGATCACTCTCACCAAAGCAAGGAGGAAATGATATCAACAAAGATATTTCCTCATTTAATTTATTTGATTTGTTGGTTAATTGGGTTCCTTTTGTTTGCTTTTGGTCTTATATGTTGGTATCTAAGTAGCTTGCCAGCAAGTACGTAATTGTACGTAATGTTTTGATGTTTTAGTGTTTTACAGTTAATGTGGCTGTTATATGTTGGAGATGAGTGGTTTTGTTCTTGTTTCTCTCCAATGTATACTCATTTTATTAATAAATTTTTTGTTGGTAAAATAAAAAAATTTAAAAATAAAGAAAAAAAACTCATCTTGTATATATAGAAATTTTCTAAATATGCATTGGGTCTAACTAGTTGAAAGAAATACGTAGAGAAAAAATCAATGCACGCAGAGAGAATTAAATTCAAAATAAAATGAGATACATATTGATTTTTTTTTTTTTGGATAAAATTCATTTTATCCTTTGTGGTTTAATAAGATACCCTCATATGATTTTGGACTAAATTGTAACACCTAACTCTACTAACAAAATTAAAAACTCACTATTTTACCCTCTTGAACCAGTGTGTCAACTTATTACATATACACAGGTTTACACAAAGGATTTTATTGAGTTAACTCATTATGTATATATACGTACGCAGGTTTACATATACACATTACATAGAATTTCCGTTAATATATATATATATATATGTAGGTTTATTTATACACAATTTTATATACATATATATATGTATATAATCAAATTGGGTATTGATTTGGTTGAATATTGATTAGTCTGACCATAATCGATAGAGTATGAAGTACAAACTTTGTTTATTTGGACAGAAATATTAACGGTAAAGAAGTAAATTGTAAAACGATCCAAATTAGATGGTGATAATTGACTATTTTTAAAATGAATAAAGGTTGAGACTCCTTTTGGGGGTCACCCCCTTGATCCCCTTTAGTTTTGATTGGTCAACTTTTCTTTTTTCTTTTTTTCTTTTTTTTCTTCTCACCCAATCCCCAACCTCCATGTGTGTGAGGGGGTTGTGGGGGTGGGTGTTTTAAGGGGGGTCTAAATCAATGCCCTTTTAAAATATAGGAGATAAAGTGCTTTACAGTTAAACCACGAGGGTTTAATGAATTTTATCTTCTTTTTTTTTTCTTTTTTTCTTTTTGGTGCACGTAGCATTGTTGGAAATTATCCTTTTTTTTTTTGGTGCACGTAGCATTAATGCACAGTTAAATCACAGTTAAACCACAATATTGTTGGAAAAGTTAAGATCGAAAGAGTTAAATTAAAGTTCTTGTCGTCCAATTAAGAAGTTAAAAATAAGGTTGCTACTCAGGCAGCCCAAACTGAGCAACATGTGTCCAACTTGAATTTTTAAGGATTGGACAATATATTTTTAGAATATAAGTTTATGTAGCAATTTAAAAGCCTAAATTAAATTCAAGGCTAGGCCTAGACAAAGATTTCCAGCAACCTGAAACTTGAATTACAAATTTAAATATAAATATATAAAAATATTAAATATACATATAAATTATTACAATTTCAATTTGATTTGCATTAGTTGAATTGTTTTGACTTTCTTTGTTTTTTTTCTTCTTCAAATTACTAGGAGATGAAATTGAGGATTGGAGACTGAAGAAGTGAATGAACTACTGCAACATTTGTTTTAAGTTTATGTCTGTGTTAGTAAAATTTTTGTTAAGTCTTGATGGATAGAGATTTAACAACAATTTTAATCAAACAACCTAACAGAAAATCAGACGAATATGTAAAGGTTCTAATGTCTTGAAAGTACAAGGATTTCTTTGGAACAATTAACAATCCAAAGAGTGAAATAAATACAGAATTTTTTTTTTATTGTAATCTCTTAAATTTATAATGTCACAAATTGTTAAAAGTTACTGCTAAAAGTTGAAATATTCCTAAAAATAAAAAAAATAAATGAAAAAAAGACTGATAAGTTTGATGACTTCTGAATCTTGTTTCTTTGTTTCAACCTTACCTATTTATAGGCTTGAAACCGTGCTTCTCTTGTAACTGCTGAAAGCAGCCCACTTTCACATCAAGTTATATTCCACTACTTCACTTTGTAAGCAACATCTTCCATAATCACCCACGTTGCCGAGTTCTTTGCCCATCTTGGATTCTTTGCCCCACGTCTGCTACACACTGCACAAAAACAGTAACAAGAACAATAACAACAACAACAATAATAATAATAAAATATGCTCATAATTATTTAAAAAGATAATTTTGGTCTGAATCCATAAACTAAAATTGACGGGTCACAATTAATAAGATTAGATTTGGCCATGATTGACAGGCCACAATCAATAAAATTAGATTTGGTCACAATCAACAGGCCACAATTGATAGAAAATAATTTATAGTACAAACAGTTTGTAATGTGAACTACTTTATCTCCTATATTTTAAAAATAGTCAATTATCCCCATCTAATTTGGATCGTTTTACAATTTACTTCTTTACCGTTAATATTTCTGTCCAAATAAACAAAGTTTGTACTTCATACTCTATCGATTATGGTCAGACTAATCAATATTCAACCAAATCAATACCCAATTTGATTATATACATATATATATGTATATAATCAAATTGGGTATTGATTTGGTTGAATATTGATTAGTCTGACCATAATCGATAGAGTATGAAGTACAAACTTAGTTTATTTGGACAGAAATATTAACGGTAAAGAAGTAAATTGTAAAACGATCCAAATTAGACGGTGATAATTGACTATTTTTAAAATATAGGAGATAAAGTGCTTTACAGTTAAACCATAAGGGTTTAATGAATTTTATCTTCTTTTTTTTTTTTCTTTTTTTCTTTTTGGTGCACGTAGCATTGTTGGAAAAGTTAAGGCCAAGAGAGTTAAATTAAATTTCTTGTCATCTAATTAAGCAGTTAAAAATAAGGTTTTTACTCAGGCAACTCAAACCGAGCAATATATGTCCAACTTGAATTTTTAAGGATTTGACAATATATTTTTAAAATATAGGTTTATGTAGCAATTTAAAGCCCGAATTAAATTCAAGGCTAGGCCTAGACAAAGATTTCTAGCAACCTAAAACTTGAATTACAAATTTAAATATAAATATATAAAAATATTAAATATACATATAAATTATTACAATTTCAATTTGATTTGCATTAGTTGAATTGTTTTGACTTTCTTTGTTTTTTTCCTTCTTCAAATTACTAGGAGACGGAATTGAGGATTGGAGACTAAAAAAGTGAATGAACTACTGCAACGTTCGTTTTAAGTTTATGTTTGTGTTAGTAAAAATTTTGTTAAGTCTTGATCGACAGAGATTTAATAATAATTTTAATAAAACAATCAAACAGAAAACCAGACAAATATGTAAAGGTTCTATTGTCTTAAAAGTACAAGTACTTTTTTGAAATAATTAACAATCGAAAGAGTGAAATAAACACATACATTTTTTTTTATTGAAATCTTTTAAGTTTATAATGTTACAAACTATTGAAAGCTATTACTAAAAGTTAAGATATTCCTAATAATAATAAATAAATAAATAAAAAGACTCTCATGAGTTTGATGACTTCTAGATCTTGTTTCTTTGTTCCATCCTGGCCTATTATAGGCTTGAAACCATCCTCCTTTTGTAACTGCTGAAAGCAGCCCACTTTCACATCAAGTTATATTCCACTACTTCACTTTGTAAGCAACATCTTCCATAATCACCCACGTTGCCGAGTTCTTTGCCCATCTTGGATTCTTTGCCCACGTCTGCTACACACTGCACAAAAACAGTAACAAGAACAATAACAACAACAACAATAATAATAATAAAATATGCTCATAATTATTTAAAAAGATAATTTTGGTCTGAATCCATAGACTAAAATTGACGGGTCACAATCAATAAGATTAGATTTGGCCATGATTGACAGGCCACAATCAATAAAGTTAGATTTGGTCACAATCAACAGGCCACAATTGATAAAAAATAATTTATAGTACAAACAATTTGTAATGTGAACTTATTGCCTGTTAGTTAGGACTATTGGCCAGTCTAGCAGAGTGATATTTGCTTACAGCAATTCCAACTGTACTCTTCATTTTTTACTAGTTAAAATCAAAAAAATGTATGTTCTTTATTTTACTTAATTTCTTTTTTATTTATGTACTCTAACATTAGTATTTATTTTATCTATCTATACATACAGACTATTTAAAGAGCCTCCCAAGACTCTTCAAATGTAGCTAATTTTGAAAATTTTTGTTAAAATAACTATTGTAATAGTTAGTCTATTGGAGTGACTAAAATATACTGAAGATAGGTATAATAGCTAACAAATCTCATTTAAAGAGTTCATTGGAGATATTCTTAGTACTATTAATGTGGCTAGGATGTTTAATTTGTTTTGATGTGATTTCATAGTTGATACTTATGTTTCTTATTTTGTTTCTTGTTAGGATGTTTTATAAAAATTCAGCTTAAATTTGTGGGTAATTTGGGCCTATCCCAAGTTCAATTTATTGAGCTCGAACTAGACTTGGGCATACAAAATTAGGTTAGTGGTTGGACTTGGGCGGGGTTAGACAACACTCAACACTACTTGGGTAACCCTCAAGTTATTCAATTTGTTTGAGTTGCACCCCAAGTTAAAAATTATGAGCTACCTTAATTTATACTAAAATCCTAATGTAATACAGATCAATCAATTTTCATTCCAAATGTACCAAGATGTCATTTCCCAGTGTAAATTTTTTTTTTCTCCCTATTTTGTGTTTGGATCATAAAGTTGGATAGAGATTTGAAAAGGAAAACAAAAAAAAGAAATAGGAAAAAGAAATAAAATGTGAATAAAATATAAGTTAAAATTTTTCTTTATTTTCCTTTCCCTTTTTCTTTTGAAATCTTTATCTAAATTCATAATCTAAACAACTGCTTTATAAGTAGACTCTTCATATTTATAATCTCATATGAAACTCTGATGAAATGAAAATTTTGATCATAAAATGAGTATACAAGATTAATATTTAACTAAAATAAAAATGGAAAAAATTATAACATAATGATGGAAAAAGTTTGATTAAAATTGACTTATTTAACATAAAGAGCCAGAGGCTAGACCTTGTATTGGTTGGATGACTTTGAAATATTTCTCTCTCTTTATCCCACCAACCACACGTTTGTTTGTCTTCTATTTCTCTAACAATTTCAATC